TCTCAATCCCTTAAACGTGTCATCTTGAAAGTGTGATATGCCATCTCTTTTAAAAAGAGATGAGAGAAATAGAATAAGCCTTCTGTCATGAACTACTTTTCTATGACCTTCTGGAATCCTAACAATAACTTTAGAAAAGGAAGAGGCACTTAGGAACATATTGTAAATATCTGCTGGCTACTGGAGCACACCAAAGAATTTCAGAAGATCAGTCTGTTTTATAGACCACAGCAAAGCCTTTGACTGGGTAGACCATGAGAAATCATGGGTTGCTCTGAAAGAAATATGTTCTGATACGTAAATTGTATTGTGGACAAGAAGTTACCCTTACGACAGAGTACGGAGAGACAAAATGGTTTCTTATAGGCAAAGATGTCAAACAAGGGGGCATTTGAGCTCCTTAGTTCAATGTGTATGCAGAACCTACCATACAGAAAGTCTGACTATATTCAGAGCCAGGAGGAGTGAAAATTGGTGGAAGAAACATCAATAATTTAAGATATACAGATTACACCATCTTACTGGCACAAAGCAGCAATGACCTGAAACAACTTTTAGTAGAAGTGAAAGAAAGTGTCAAAGCAGAAATGTAGTTGTACATCAGGAAGTCCAAAATCATACTATAAATACAAAACTTTGACATTCACAATGAAGAAATTTAAGTGGTTAGAGATTTTGTATACCTTGGATCAGTCGTCAATCAAATGTCTACAGACAAGAAATCAGAAGAAGACTAAGACGTGGAATGGCAGCAACAAAGGGACTAAGAAGGATAATCAAGTGTAAGGAATGAGTCACAGGACACCAAGACGAAGATCACCCATACTGTCATATTCCCAATAGGAGTGTGGAAGCTGGACACTTAAGAAAGCTGACAGGGAAAACATTGATTAATTTGAAGTATCATGCGGAAGGAGAGTTTTGCAGATACCCTTGACTGCCAGAAGGACGACCAAATCAAATCAAACCTGAACTATCTCTGGAGGCAAAAATGTTGAAATTGAGGCTGTCCTACATGGACACATGATGAAAAGGCAGGATTCTCTGGGAATGACAGTAATGGTGGGGAAGTTGGAAGGCAGCTGGAAAAGAGGAAGACCAAATACAAGCTGGATTGACTCCCTAAAGGAACCCACAGGCTTGAAATTGCAAAAGCTGAGCTGTTGACGTCATTTTCATGGTTGCTAATTCATAGGTTTCGTCATAAATCAGGCAAATTGATGGTATGTAATAACAAGAGTAACTTGTAACAATTACACTGAGACAGTAAATGTTTCTCTTAATATTTATTATTTCTGCTCACAAATTTACTGTAAATGCATGTAAGCATTAACATAGCTTTCTTGTGGGAGATTAGTATTTTTAATATTTGGTTTGGACAAAGATAAGATATCCCCTTCACAAATTGCTGCCTTGTCATGGTGAAGGAACTTGAGTAATTCAGAGAAGCTATGGGCTATGCTGTGCAGGGACAC